ACAGCGGCCAACACGCACACACACACACACACACAGCGGCCAAAACACACACACACACACAGCAGCCAACACACACACAAACACACAGCAGCCAACACACACACACAGCGGCCAACACACACGCACACAGCAGCCAACCCCCACAGCACACACACACAGCAGCCAACTCCCACAGCACACACACACACACGCACAGCAGCCGTCCTCCATAGCACAGCACACCAACAGCAGCCGCCCTCCACAGCAGCCATCCTCCACAGCACACACACAGCAGCCACCCTCCATAGCATAACACACACACCACAGCCACCGTCGACAGCACACACACACGCAGCAGCCGCCCTTCACAGCACAGAACACACACACACGCAGCAGCCGCCCTTCACAGCACAGCGCACACACACACAGCAGCCGCCCTCCACAGCACAGCGCACACACACACAGCAGCCGCCCTCCACAGCACAGCGCACACACACACAGCAGCCGCCCTCCACAGCACAGCGCACACACACACAACAGCCGCCCTCCACAGCACACACACAACAGCCGCCCTCCACAGCACAGCGCACACACACACAGCAGCCGCCCTCCACAGCACAGCGCACACACACACACAGCAGCCGCCCTCCACAGCACAGCGCACACACACACAGCAGCCGCCCTCCACAGCACACACACAGCAGCCGCCCTCCACAGCACAGCGCACACACACACAGCAGCCGCCCTCCACAGCACAGAGTGCAGCACACAGCAGTGCCCATACTGCACAGAGCACAGAGCATAGCACAGCATCGCATAGCACAGAGCATATCACAGAGCACAGCACAACGTCCACACAGCACAGCGCCTCAAATATAACATAGCCTCACTTTGCACAGCATCGCCTGACACGGCCCAGCCTTACACAGCCCAGCGCCACCTCACACAGCCTCACGCAGCACAGCCTCGAACAGCCTCACACAGCACCACCTCAAACAACACAATCTCACACAGCACAGTACACCGCACACAGCACAACTTCATACAGCACAGCATCTACACAACACAGCGCCAAGCTGGTGCGTGAAGGGCAGGGCACACGTGCTTACACCCTCCTCTCCTGCTCACACCGTCCTCTCCTTCTCTCAGTCACTCTGGGAATAATAGTCCTTGCATTTGATATAGCGCCTTATCACATCGTTGAGACTTCTCAAAGTGCTTCACAAATATAGTGTATAGCGACTCTATATTGTGTGTGTGGCCTGCGAGCCACTCTCACCTGCGGCTCCCCCCACCCCCCACCAAACATACGCACACACACATACGCATGTCTTGATATGGGCGCAAAATTGTCTGGGTTAAGAGCTAATTAGATTAGTTAAGAGGTTGACACTTCACCTCTCCTCACACCAAGCTGAAGGGATGCACCGCGGGACATGAGAGCAGTGGTTGGTTGTACTTCAGGTCTCCTGCGCTTCCCATCCTACCATTGGCAGTCAGTCATCAGCATCTCTGCCCCCACACTCTGGAACTCTATTCCACACTCCCTCCACCTCACCCCCTTTCTTGCCTCCTTCAAGTCCCGTCTAAAGACTTTCCTCTTCGACCGTGCCTTCGGCCGCCCTCTCACCCTCCAACCCTCCTGACTCCAACTCGGGTCCAAAAACCCGACTGTCCAGTGTCCTGGGACGTCTTTCCGAGGTGAATAGCGCTATACAAGTGTAATTTGTTGTTACTGGTAGTGGTGACGGTTGGTCCAGTGTCAGTGTGTGTGTGTGAGCCGCCGGCTCTCTCTCTATAACAATAATGCTTGCATTTGATATAGCGTCTTATCACGTCTTTGAGACCTCTCAAAGCTCTTCACGGGATATACCATATATTTTGTGAGTGTGTGTGTGTGTGTGTGCGGCCCGCGGGCCGCTCTCACCCACTGCTCCCCCTCCCCACCTCTCAGTAGTGTGGGTTGAGAGCTGTAGTGGGATGGGCTGAAGGGTTTTGACACCTCACGCACAAAGCTGAAGGAACAACAAGTACCGGGATGCACCGCGGGAGCTGGAGAGCGGCGGTTGGTGACGTAACGTGCAGTGTGTTTGAATGGATGCGCGCGGTTCCACGCTCTGTGTATGTTTGTGTTGGCCCGCGGGCCATTCTCACCTGTTGCTCACTCCCCCCCCCCACACACACACGTCTTTCTATGGGAGGAATAATTGTCTGGGTTAAGAGCTTATCGGACTAGTTAAGCGGTTGACACTTCACCTCCGCTCCACACACAGGCAAAGCTGAAGGAACTACAAGTACCGGGATGCACCGCGCGCGGGTGGTCAGCGCGGCGGTTGTGACGGTTGGTCCGGCGTGTTTGAATTTGAGAGTGCGCGCGCACCTCCTCGCTGTCTGTGTGGGCCGCGGGCTGCTCTCACCCGCTGCCCCCCCTCCCCTTCCTCCCTTCAACACAAGCGGTGATATGTGAGCGGAATTGTCTGGGGTTAAGAGGTTGACACCCCCCCCCCCCCCCCTCACTCGCAGCGGGAGGAAGGAAGGTAGGCCGGAGGTGATTGAGAGATGGTGGCGGTTGGACCAGGGATTGGCAGCCGGGGAGAGGGGCGATGTGACCGGGACACCGACGCAGGGCCGACCCGCCCTCAAACTCCCCGCGGCTCCACTGCCGAAAGCAAAGTACAAATGATTCAAGGTACAGCAACAGCCATCATTCTGTGTGTGTGTGGAAAGCGCTCATTTTTATATATTACAGAAAGGTTCTCCCGCCGTCAGCCCTTCACTTGAGGTGAGGTGTGTGTGGTGGGTGGGCAATGTCTCCCAACTCCCAGTACACCTAATCTATGGAATTGGTCTCAATTTGACACCTATTGTATAACTGAAACAAAACCAGAAGTGTCTGGGAACCCTCAGCAGGTCAGGCAGCACCTATGGAGAAAGGAAAGTGAGTCAACGTTTGGGGTCCACGACCCTTTCTCAGAACTCAACCTATTGTCAGAACAGAGTGTATTATTGTTTGGCATTCACTTTATAATCATTGTCATCGTCATCATCATAATAATAATCCTTGCATCTTGACATAGCTCCTTGCCACATCTCCGAGACGGCGTAAAGTGCTTCACAGAATATACTGTAAAGTGGAGTCCTGTAGCTCAGTGGTTAGAGCACTCGCTCTGCAAGTGAGACCCCTGGGTTCAATTCCAGGCAGAGCCAAACCTTGGGCAAGTTTCCTTACTCCACAGACCAAATAATAATCCCTCCAAAACAAAACAATAATAAATTGGTCATTTTCAATCCATGACTGTCTGTGGGACACTGCTGTGCACAAATGGCTGCCGCGTTTCACCCACAAATATAAAGTCAATTCACTTTATAAGCATATTCTGTGAAGCACTTTGAGACGTCCAGAAGACGTGAAAAGCGCTATATCAAATGCAAGGGTTATTATTATTACCAAAGTGAATTGACTGTATTTTTGTGGGTGAAACACAATTGCGCACAGCAGTGTCCCACAAATAGTTGTGGGAGGTTATTCACAGATAGAGAAATGCACATGTTGGTAGATTGAGAGAAACATGACCAGTAAAAGGAAGACAGAATAGGTCGAGGCTCACACAAATGGAGACTGAAGATATTTTATCAAGTGGCCCCAGACCTTTATACTAGCCTCTCACTCTTTCACTGACCAGGATTTAGTCAAACTCTGTAACGAGAATCTTAATTTGATTTTAATTTAATAACAATAACAGTTATTACACTTGATACAGCTCCTCATCACGTATCCAAGACATCTTTGGGATGTCTCGAAGCGCTTCACAGTATATACTGTAAAATTAATTGACTGTATATTGTGTGGGCGAAATGCACAGCAATGTCCCACAAACAGCCATGACCAGATTATTATTATTTTTAAAAAAATTTTGAATGAATTATTACCCCCAGGAAAGCAATCTCAATCCACTAACATCTAGGTTCCTACTTACTGGTAGGTAAATGGAGGAATGTGGAGTAAGGAAACTTGCCCTACATTTCGCCCTTCACAGGAATCTAACCTAGGTCCTCTCGCTTGCGAGGCGAGTGCTCTAACCACTATGCTACAGAATTGACTATATATTTTGCAGGCGAAACGCAGCAACCAATTGCGCAAAGCGTGTCTCACAAACGGGTGGATTTGAGTTAATAAAGCATTATAATTTATTAATTTTTTTGAAGGAATTATTAACCCCAGGAAAGTGATCCACCAATTGACTAAAAACTGGGTTCCTATTTACTGCTAGGTAAACAGAGGCATGTGGAGTAAGGAAACTTGCCCAACATTTCGCCTTGCCTAGGAATCAAACCCAGGTCCTAATGTAAATAAAGTACATATTTTCTTTAGAATCATCGAATGGTACAGCACAAAAAGAGGCCATTCGGCCCATCGAGTCTGCCGGCTCTTTGAAAGAGCAATGTAGCATCAATCCCTTTCCCCATAACCCTGCAAACCCGTTCTCCTTAAATACCCGTCCACCGAGTTTTTAAAAGTTGTTATCGAATCGGCCTCGACCACCCTTTCAGGCAATGTGTTCCAGATTCGAACAACTCGTGGCATGAAGAAATTTCTTCTCACCTCCCCTCTGCTTCTTTTAGAGACTATTTTAAATCGGTGACCTTGAGTCACCGACACACCCACCAGTGGAAATAGTTTTTCCCTTTCTAACCTATCAAAACCCCTCATAATTTTGAAGCCCTCTATTAGGTCTCCTCGTAACTTTCTCTGCTCCAACGAGAATAATCCTCGACTCTCTAGCCTTTCCTCATAATAACATAACATGTAGGAGCAGGAGTAGGCCATTCGGCCATTCGAGCCTGCCCCGCCATTCAATCATGGCTGATCTTCTAATCTAACTTTAGCTAATAACATAACCCTGCCTTATCCCCATGTCCCTTATGTAGAAATCTATCATTCCTGGTACCATTCTTGTACATCTCCTCTGCACCCTTTCCAATGCCTTAACATCCTTCCTATAGTGTGGTGACCAGAACTGGGCACAGTATTCTAACTGAGGCCTAACCAGTGTTTTATAGAGGTTAATCATAACCTCCTGACTCTTGTACTCTATGCCCCTATTTATAAAGCCTGGTATCCCATATGCCCTTTTTACAGCTTTATCTACCTGTCCTGCCACCTGCACCCCCAGGTCTCTCTGTTCTTTTGCCCCCCATAAGATTGTATTACCGGCCTATATTTCCTCCCCTCATTCTTTCTACCAAAATGCATTACCTCACATTTCTCCCTGCAGTTGGCTGCTATCCTTCTCACTGTTTACTACCCGACCTAACTTTGTGTCATCCGCAAACTTGGAAATGGTACTTGCTATACCCAAGTCCAGATCATTTATGTATATTAAGAAGAGCAATGGTCCTAATACCAATCCCTGGGGGACACCACTGTACATTTCCCTCCAGTCAGAAAAGCAGCTGTTCACCACAACTCTCTGCTTTCTGTCTCCCAGCCAGTTCTGGATCCATACTGCCACTGTCCCTTTTATACCATGGGCTTCTATCTTTCTTACAAGTCTTTCATGTGGTACTTTGTCAAATGCCTTTTGAAAGTCCATATAAACTGCATCAACTGCACTACCTTTATCCACCCTCTCCGTTACCTCATCGAAAAATTCTATTAGATTTGTTAGACAAGATTTGCCTTTAACAAATCATGTTGGCTGTCCCTAATTAACCCATATTCTTCTAAATGAAGATTTATTCTGTCCCGGATTATAGTCTCCAGGAGTTTCCCCACTACTGATGTTAGATTAGTTTTCAGGTGCGTGCGCACGCAACAAAAAAAAACAACCCTCTGCGCCCCCCCCCAGGGCTCACATCAGAGCAGTCCTGTTGGGTTCGCTGCCCCAATCTACGGGATAATGCCATCCACCTGACCGCTCGCTCCCGGTCCCCGCGTGCGCACTATGGCTGCCGCTTTGACCCGAGCCCCCTCACCCCCTCCCTCCTGCCCCCCTCCTCTCTCCCCCCAAACCCTCCCCCCTCTGCATCTCTCCCGCTCTCTCCTCTCTCTCCGTCCCTCTCGTCTTCTATCCCCACTTGACCCTCCCACAACCTCCCTCTGTTCCAGCCTGGGAATCCTCCGCCGGGCTCACCGCGGCACTCGGCGTTGGCTGTCCAGCAGCAGCCACACCGACTGCCCCATTCCCCACCACACTCGCCACCCACCCCGGACACAGACCCGGGGAGTCAACCTCTCCTCCCTCATCCCCATTCCCCCACCCCTGCCTCACAACCTGGACCCCCCTCCCCTCCCACACACCCTTCTGTCAACCGCTCCCTCCACATCGGACTGCAAAATGTCCGCTCCCTCTGCAACAAGGCCCTGGTCATCAACGATCTCATCCTTGATGAGAACGTTGATATCATGGCCTTGACAGAAACCTGGCTCACCCCAGGCGACACCTTCCCCCTCACGGAGGCCACGCCACCCGGCTACACCTCCCACCACATCCCCCGCCCCAACCGCCGTGGCGGTGGTGTTGCCCTTATCTCAAGGACACCACTTGCCCTATCCCCTACTCCACTGGCTCTTTCCCCTCCTTTGAGCACCTCACCCTCTCCCACCCCTCATTCCTCTCCCTTAAAATCCTCCTCCTCTACCGGCCCCCTAAAACCTCTCCCACCTTCATCTCTGACATTTCAACACTCCTCACATCTCTTTGCCTCTGCTCTGATCGCCTCATCATCCTGGGCGACTTTAACCTACACTTCACCCCCTCCTGCTCCATCTCCACAGACTTCTCTTCCCTGCTCTCCTCACTCAACCTCTCCTTACACATAAACTCCCCCACTCACAGTCACGGCCACCCACTCGATTTGGTGATCACCCGGGGCCTCAGTGTCTCGGATGTCACTATTACCGACAAGGCCATCTCTGACCACTACTTCATCTCCTTCACCACCTCCACCCCCCTCCCCACCTCCACCAGACCCACCACCATCTTCTACCGCCCTTGGAAGAAGTTACCCCCACAATCCCTAACCGATGCCTTGGAGTCCTCTGAACTCCTCTCCCTCTGGCCTTCAACCCTCACCGACCCCTCTTCTCCTCTCTCCCTCCTCCACAATACCCTCTCCTCCACACTCGATACTCTTGCCCCCATCACTTCCCGCACTGTCTCCTACTCCCGCTCCTCCCCCTGGTACACCACCCACCTCCGCTCACTGAAAAGCCAGGTGCGGGCTGCTGAACGCACCTGTGTCAAATCTGGCCTAACGGTCCACCGACAAATCTGGCTGGACCTCCTCAAAATTTACCGCTCCACTCTAGCCTCGGCCAAGTCGTCCTTCTACTCCAGGATAATCCTGGAGGCGAAGAACAACCCCAGGCTACTGTTTTCCACCACAACCCGACTCCTCCGTCCCCCCGCCACCCCGCGCAGGTCATCTCCTCCAACCTTCACTGCGAGGAGATGCTGGATTTCCTTGAATCCAAGATCAAGGGAATCCGCTCCGCGGTCACTTCCCCTCCAACTTCCACCAACCCCCACCCCCTCACTCCTACACTCCGAAACCTACCCATCCTCCCCTACACACCTTCGTACCCGTTTCCCCACCCTCTGTCACTAAACTCATCCTATCCCTAAAACCAACCACCTGCTCCCTTGACCCCATCCCCACTCCACTCCTTATCTCCCAGCTCCACTTTCTTGCCCCACATATCACCGACATCATCAACCTGTCCCTCTCCTCTGGCTCTGTCCCCATTCCATTAAAAACTGCCATCATCACGCCCACCCTGAAAAAACCCTCCCTTGATGCGTCGCAGCTATCAAGCTACCGGCCCATCTCCAACCTCCCCTTTCTCTCCAAGGTCTTGGAAAGAGTTGTCGCCTCCCAACTGCGCTCTTTCCTTTCCACCCATTCTCTTTTCGAACCCCTTCAGTCAGGTTTCCGTGCTGCCCATAGCACAGAAACTGCCCTGGTCAAGGTCACCAATGATATCCTGACCATCTGTGACCAGGGCTCCCTCTGTCTCCTCGTCCTCCTCGACCTATCGGCAGCATTCGATACGGTCGACCACGCTATCCTACTCCACCGCTTGTCCTCCCACCTCAACCTTCAAGGCACTGTCCTTGAGTGGTTTAGGTCGTACCTTTCTCACCGTCTTCACTTTGTCTCGACGAATGGCTTCTCCTCCACCCCCCGTACTGTCTCATGTGGTGTCCCTCAGGGCTCTGTCCTCGGTCCCCTCCTCTTCACCCTCTATATACTCCCCCCTCGGTGACATCATCCGCAGACATGGAGTTAACTTCCACATGTATGCGGATGACACCCAACTCTACCTTTCCTCCTCTACTCTCAACTCCACGACCACCGATGTCCTGACAGCTGCCTGTCCGACATCGAGTCCTGGACGAGAGACAACTTTCTTCAGCTCAACGTGCGAAAAACCGAGGCCCTCCTGATTGGCTCACGTCAGCGCCTCCGCACCTCAGGCGCTGACACCATCAGCATCCAAGGCTGCACTCTCCACCTCTCAAAGCCAGTCAGGAACCTCGGCGTTTTGTTCGACCCTGAGCTGTCCTTTCTCCCTCACATCCGCACCACAACTGGCACCGCCTTCCATCACCTCCGAAATATCGCCAGACTACGGCATTACCTCACCCCTCACGCTGCTGAAACCCTGGTCCACGCCTTTGTCACCTCAAGGCTGGACTATGGGAACTCTCTCCTCGCCGGCCTTCCCGCCACCTCCCTCCACAAGCTGCAGGTCATTCAGAACTCTGCAGCTCGTGTACTGTCCCGCACCAGGCTTCGGACCACATCACTCCCACCCTCGCTCGCCTCCACTGGCTCCCCATCCCCCAGAGGATTGATTTCAAGATCCTCATCCTCACCTACAAGGCCATTCACGGCCTTGCTCCCTCCTACCTCTCCAACCTACTATCCCCCTACCTACCTGCCCGTACCCTCCGTTCCTCCGGCTCCGGTCTGCTCCACGTCCCCCGCCCCAACCGCCCTACCATCGGTGGTCGGGCCTTCAGCCTCTCAGCCCCGAGGCTCTGGAACTCTATCCCCCAGTGCCTTCGCCGCTTCCTCTCCTCCTTCAAGGCCGGTCTCAAAACCTTTCTCTTTGACCGAGCCTTCAGCTCCCCTCTCGACTCTCTTCCCCCTCCTCGCTCCCTCCCTTCCCTCCCCTCACCATTTCCCCCCTCCTCGCTCCCTCCCTTCCCTCCCCTCACCATTTCCCCCCTGCTCGGGTCATGACCCAACTGTACAGCGCCTTGGGACGTCCTCCCGACGTGAAAGGCGCTCAATAAATCGAATCTTGTTGTTGTTAAACCCTCCCCAACAGCACTAGTTAGCCAGTCTGCAAGGACCCTTGCCCCAGCCCTGTTTAGGTGTAACCCATCCATATGATACAGGTCCCACCTGCCCCAGAACTGGTCCCAATGATCCAGAAACCTGAAGCTCTCTTTTCTGGACCATTTCTTCAGCCAAGCATTCATATGCTTGATCCTGCCATTATGGTACTTATTTGCCCGAAGCATAGGGAGTAATCCAGGGATGTTGGATGTTGTATTCTTTAGTGTATTCCCCAGCTTTTGATATTCACCTTGTAGCATCTTAGCCTGTTTTTTTTACCAATATCATGGATCCCAACCTGGATCACCACTTCTGGATGTTCCCCTTCCCCCTGAAAAATGTTATCCACCCGTTCCATGATGTCTAAGACTGTTGCACCGGGGAGGCAACATACCATCATTGACTCCCATCTTCTGTTACAGAAACATCTGTCTATACCTCTCACTGTTGTATCCCCTTTACTGTCCTCTCTGGAGATATCAACACTCTCAATGTTCAGTACAGAGTACCGGTTTGAGAGTGCTACACAATTGGGGGCATTCTGCCCTGCCCGTCCCCTCTTCCTACTATGCCGGACAGTCATCCAGTCATTTTTCATCTGAACCCTCAGTGGCTGTGGGGTGACCACCTCCTGAAGTATCTGGTCCATCAAATCCTCACATCAGTTGTATAACTTTGAAGCCCAAGGCTCCATCACCCCTCTCTTAGGGGTCCCATTGTCTGCGGGATTGATAAAACTATCCTGTCCCTGACCAGATGCAAGCATCTCCCGAGCCTAAGGGGAGTGATGGTTTCCTCCATCATACTGTCCAGGAACCTCTCACTGTCCCTGATGGAGCTACTCTCAGCTGGAGCTTCCTGAGTTGCAGACACTTGCTGCAGGTGAAGTTGCCCGGGCTCAGGGCGCCCCCCATTAACTCCCACATGTCACAGTCCTCGCATTTCACTTGCTACATCATCCTCTCACAAAGTGTTTTCAATATTTTTTTTATTTTTGTTTCTTTGTTTTAATTTGTCGTCAGTGTTGTAGTTATGACAGTTTGTCGATGTTTGTCCCTGGTTCTGCTGTTGAAAATTATATCACACCAACGTCACTTTTTCTTTTTTTTTCGTCGCTCTGACAGTAGCTTACCTATGCTGATCACTAGGCCCAGGCTCCGCCTCCGCTCTGTCCTGATTGCTCTCCTTTTAAACTATTTTTGAGATTATTTTGTAACTGGCAAATGTGTATTTGGTTTGAAGCAGCCTGCGGAACAATAATAATAATCCTTGCATTTGATATAGCGCTTTATGACGTCTTCTAGACGTCTCAAAGTGCTCCAGAGAATATACTGTAAAGTGAATTGATTGTATATTTGTGGGTGAAACGCGGCAGCCAATTGTGCACAGCAGTGTCCCACGAACAGTCATGGATTGAAGTGACCAATTTATTATTGTTTTTTTTCTTGAGGGATTATTATCAGGCGTGTGGAATAAGGAAACTTGCCCAAAGTTTCTTCCTGCCAGGAATCAAGCCCAGGTCTCTCACTTGTGAGGCAAATGCTCTAACCACTGAGCTGCAGGACTCCAGAAACCATGATCTTTTCTTAACACGTCATTAGTTTGGCTGCTTTGTACTTCTCCTAATACACTTGCAACAACAATAAAATTACATTTATAGAGCGCCTTTCACATTGGGAGGACGACCAATTTATTATTGTTTTTTTCTTGAGGGATTATTATCAGGCGTGTGGAGTAAGGAAACCTGCCGGGAATCAAACCCAGATCTCTCGCTTGAAAAACGAATGCTCTAACCACTAATCTACAGGCCTCCTGTACAACAATATGCCGATGTTTGTCTATTGTTGTCTGAGTTGTCTATGATGTTAGCCTTTAACATTTCCATTGTATCTTGCTAGGTGGGCTGTTTCTGGGTTCTGTAACTGCAGCGGGGATATTGGCTGGCTTTGGCATGACTCTATCTATGGCAAAAAAGAAAAGTCCTGGCTGGTTCAGTAAGGTAAGGAGAATATGTTGGCCCAGCTGTTTGGCTGCTGAGGGCTAGGTACCCTATTTGAGGTAATATGTCCTATAGTTTAAAATGCTGCAGCAGAGACAATAACTGAGCAAATTAACTCCTCTGCAGCAACTAAAGATGCATTGGGTGGGTTAGTGGCATGCATTCCTAATCTATAGAATCCTTTGATTTTTCTCATGATTTCCTACATGCAGGGCTCAACCATTACATTTTGGCACATGCCCTTTGAACAAGCAATAGACAATAGTTGTGCATTTGAAATCCTGTCTAAATTATTCTCAATTTATTCAATATTGAAGCCAAATATTATGCTTTTCACAGTGTTCACTGAGGGACGTATATGAATCCATAACTATTGCAGTTTTGAACTCTGGGATCTTGCTCTCCTGCTACGCTTTCTCATCTTACCACAATTCACCTCTCCCCTATGTCTGGAGAAGAGGCCTGTTCAGCAGTTCTATAGCGTTTGAGATGAAAGACAATGGTCTGACAGGTTGAGGTAGACACTTTTACTATGGAAAGTCAGGACTGTAGTTGGAGCATATTATAGTGATAGAAGTTTTGCATTTATAGCGTTTCTATCAAAACTATCAAAAATGTAAGCTTTACCTTTACCAAATGCACAACATTTGTATTTTATAATTTATAATCCAAATTGGAGCCTAATTTAATTGATTTACTTTCTGAATTTGAAATGTTATTAAATTTATATTGGTAGGAAATTGAATTGCGGCAATGTTGATGTCAGCTTTGAATATAATAATATAATAATCCTTGCATTTGATATAGCGCTTTTCACATTTTCTAGATGTCTCAAAGCGCTTCACAGAATAGACTGTAAAGTGAATTGACCGTATATTTGTGGGCGAAATGCAGCAGCCAATTGCGCACAGTAGTGTCCCATAAACAGTCGTGGATTGAAAATTACCAATTTATTATTTTTTGTTTTGGCGGGATTATTATTAGGTGTGTGGAGTAAGGAAAGTTGCCCAAAGTTTCACCCTGCCTGGAATTGAACCCAGGGGTCTCTCTTGCAAGGCGAGTGCTTTTTTTTTGAATGATGAAGTGGATATGTGTTTTAGCCTACACTTAACACAAGATAACTCCTTCTTGTTGAGTTACTGTCTCATTTGAAGAATATTAATTTGTTTTGGAAATGCTTTGTTACAGAGCAGCCTTTGAAGTTGACGGCTCTTTTAATAATGTCACAGGGAATAGATTGATGAGATTATTCTTTTGTAAGATCATGAACTTTAATGAAAAGCCAGCACTTTGATTTAAGATACAGAAAAGGAGGGTGTGTTCCAGTAAAGTAACAAACCTGTTTCTAAACCATTGTAACATGTTTTAAGAAGCTGCTTTACACAGGAATAATCTACTCTTATTATTTGACCAGCAAAAAAATTGAAAATGCTTTTTTTGCTGATTGGGGGCATAAGAGATAGGAGAAACAAAGGGAGTAAATATTGTGTAATAAGTTATGTAATTCAAAAGTAGGCACTAGAAATAATTTAATAATAATCTTTGCATTTGGCGCAGCGGCTAATCATTTTATCAAAGCAGTCGTGATTCAGTGTAAAGTGTTTTTGTAGGCATGTTAAACAAAACTTTCATTTTGTGAATTAATTACCCTGCCATGACCCGCTCGGTCTTTCCCCACCTCCACAACATCGCTCGACTCCGCCACTGTCTCACACCGCTGGCCCTGAGACCTTCATACACACATTCATAACGTCCAGGCTTGACTGCGCAAACTCCCCACTTGTCGGTCACCCCAATTCTTCCTTACATGGGTTGCAGATCATCCAAAACTTGCAGCCCATGTCCTCTTCCCACATCTGGCTCCACGACCCTATCACCTCCATCCTCGCCCAACTCCACTGGTTTCCCATCACAAAAAAGGATACAGTTCACAATCCTGGTCCTCATCTTCAAAGCCCTCCATGGCCTTGCTTCCACCTACCTCTGCGACCTCCTAACACCCTGCCAACCTGCCTGCTCCCTTGGCTCAGTGGGGTCCAGCCTGCTTCACGTCCTCTGGCTCACCTGCCCCACAATTGGGGGGCGGGCCTTTCATTCCCTGGAACTTCATCCCGCAGTCCCTCTGCCTCGCCCCCTCCCTTGCCTCTTTCAAGACACATCTCAAGATCCTCCTCTTCGACCATGCCCTCCAACCTCCCCGATCCCGACCCCCAGCTAGGGTCTGAAACACTTGACTGTCCAGCACCTTGGGACGTCCTCCTGACGTGAAAGGCGCTATACAAATGTAATTTTGTTTTCACATCTTCAAAACATATCAAAGCACTTCACAGAATATATTGTAAAGTGAATTGACTTCATATTTTGTGGGCAAAAACTACCCCCTGGAACTCCATCCCACAGTCCATCGGCCCCGCCTCCTCCCTTGCCTCCTTCAAGACCCGTCTCAAGACCCTCCTCTTCCACTGTGTCTTTGGTCACCCTCCGTCCACGCTCCCCGATCCCGACCCCCAGCTTGACCGAAACATTAATAGTCCAGCACCTTGGGACATCCTCCCGACATGAAAGGCGTTACACAAATGTATTTTTGTTGTTGTTTATCCTACAGGTCTAGCATTTTTTTGATTATATAACTGGGTTAAGTTGGAATACAGTATGTCAGGAGTGTGATGATGTGGCTGCAGAGTTTAAATGTTGCTTTCCCCAATCTAATCAATATCAATTTAAAAAGAAATGTACAGGGGGAAAAAATACCCTGGCAAGTCTGACTAAGTCACTGAAGCATGTAGCTAACATAGGACAGGGAAGAGCAATTCAACGGCTCTTAGAAAGTGATGAGCTTGGAAAGCGCTTAGCCATTTTAAATATACATACATGTACAACGATGTTATAAATATATGGTATAGTGAAAGAATTTCTGCACTGTATTTTTCTTGTCTTGCATCAGTCAGAATGATGCATTGGCATGAATTAAGTATACTTCATGCCAACACTTCGTTAAGATTGCTTCCTAAATAAGCAGCTGAAGTGTTTTGATCAATATTTGCAAAATTCATAATTCTGCTCTCAGAACATAACCTTTCGATATTATTCTAACCGATCTGGTGTAAATAGAGGTTTGTCTCTTTCAACTTGCTTGCAGTGAAGTTAGCACTGAAGTTGGATATACTGTAGACCTGATCATGGAAGTTAATCAGCACAAAGCACACTGTTGCATGTCAGACTTTTATTCCTTTATTCTATTCACTTTGTATTCTGTCCAGTATGAAAGTTCCTTTATCTACTAAAAAAAAAGTCAGATAGTTATTGTAGTTATATACATGGCATGATTGCTTAGCATATGAATTGGTTCTGCTAGTAATTTCTCCAGTTAGTGCTCATTACCAATTACCCCCAGAAAAGCGATCCGCCAATTGACTAACAACCGGGTTCCTACTTACTGCTAGGTAAACAGGTGTGTGGAGTTAGGAAACTTGCCTACAGTTTCGCTCTGCCTGGGAATCAAACCCAGATCTCTCGCTGCGAGGCGAGTGCTCTAACCACTACCCTGCAGGACTCCACATGGCAGTTAAATGGGACAAATTAATTTCTCTTTCAAAGAGACAGCACAGATATGGATCCTTTTTAAACCTGACAACGTTGCAGCTTAATGCTCAGGCTGAATTCTTAATAATACTTCTGGAATTCAGCATTCCCAGCACACGGATAAAGCTTGCCAATTCACATTGCTGCCTCCTACTCAAAAGCATTTAAATAGCATGTTATGCAATAAAACACTCTAACCTTATCTGAACCAAAACCCTGTGGTCACATTAGTAGATTCAGTTGAAGACTTCAATTTTAATGAAGCATCTACCTGAATGTCCTTCTAATAAGCTGCCTGACCTCCGTTTTACACCTTGCTGTGCTTTGTGCAACAATTTGCTTTGAAGAACGCAATGCTGTTGAGCATTGAAACTTTTTAAGTGAAGAATTGTTAATGCACTTGAAATTCGACAGGCAGCTGGGAAAGGCAGAGGGAGAGAAGAATCAAGTGAAGTGAAGAGTATATTTTTGTATGACAATTCGCAAGAGTTCAAATTATAGGAGGTTCATTGCTGCTCTTCATTGTTGTGCAGTGAAGGCAGAGCTTACATTTTTACAGAAGCTGCTCAAAATAGAAACCACTCAAAATGCTTCAGTGGTAATTACTGTCATGTATTAACTGCTTTTGTAGGCTACTGACAGTAGTCTAATTTCAGGAAGCATGTTCCCGTAGATAGCTATGAGGTGGATATAATATAATACAATTATATAATAATGTATAATGGGACCAATTAATCTGGAGTTTCACCCAGAAAATATACTCTCAATTCACTTTATCACGTCTGTGGAGTCCTGTAGCTCAGTGGTTAGAGCACTCGCTTTGCAAGTGAGAGACCTGAGTTCAATTCCAGGCAGAGGGCGAAACCTTGGGCAAGTTTCCTTACTCCACACAGAGCCTAATAATAATCCCTCCAAAACCAAAAACAATAATAAATTGGTCATTTTCAATCTACAACTGTTTGTGGGACACTGCTGTGTGCAAGTGACTGCCGCGTTTGCCCACAAATATACAGTCAACTCACTTTACAGTATATTCCTATTATACAGTATATATAGTCTACTCCTATCTGCTACAAGTGGAGTCACACTGAAGCAAGTTGTTTCATAACAAGGATGGATTGTAACAGCGCCAGAAACTGAACTGATGTGAGAAGCAACATGATGCCCTGGAGGCAGTGCTGGCAGCCATTTTTATTCTGTCAACGTGTTCTAACACAGGTCATGGGATCTAATTTTATGGACCCCCAAAAAATGGGATTGGATGTTTATTTATTTATTTATTCACTTTTGTTGCATGTTCCAAACAGTAACTACTTGTTACTTACCTGTGTATTTTATAATTTTATATTTTTTATCCTTTCTTTTATAGGGACTAAACGCAACAGCAGCTGTTCCTGAGAGTGGAGCATCTCTGGCCTTGAGAGCTCTGGGCTGGGGCTCACTCTATGCCTGGTGTGGGGTTGGTCTGTTCAGCTTTGCAATATGGAAAGCTTTAGGAGTACACAGTGTAAGTATTTTTACATTTTATTTTGTTTAGTCCTTTGCATAACTGGAAAATAAAGAGTTACCATTCTGACTATATTTACAATAGCTTGTCACCACAATACAATACAAAATTATATTTGTATAGCGCCTTTCGTGTCGGGAGAACGTCCCGAGGCACTATTACATTTTTGCCAAACTGGATAACAACAAACTGTATTTGAATGCAGCCTTTCACATACAATGACCATCTTGAAGCACTTTACAGATTCAATAGTGAAAATGCAGATTTAGGTTATTGATGAAAAGTACAATTAAAGAGATGTTTTGAAGAGGGCTTTGAAGAATGGATTGAAACGTCAAAGAGTTTGGAAAAGTATTAAAAGTGCTGGGAAGGAGCCCTGATTGCAGAGCATTATTGTTGTCATTTTGAGAGAGAGTGTCTCGTTGCTGTGGACAGGTTGAATACCAAACTTGATGGGCTCAAACAGGAGGTTATGAAGAGTTGGTATGGTGAAGGGAGTTTCTGCCGGTGTCCTAGCCAGATGGAGTCCTGTAGCTTGGTGGTTAGAGTAGAGATCGAGTCCTGTAATTCAGTATTAGAGTGCTCGCCTCACAAGCGAGAGGACCTGGGTTTGATTTCCGGATAGGGAGAAATGTTAGTCAAGTTTCCTTACTCCACACGCCTCTGTTTACCTAGCAGAATATAGGAACCTGGTTGTTAATTGATTGGTGATTGCTCTTCCGGGGGTAATAATCCCTTCAAAAATAAATAATAATAATTTTGGTTACCGAATCCAAGACTTCTTGTTACAATTGTATCCAAGACTGCTGTGCCAATTGGCTGCCTGCCACATTTGGCCACAAAATCTGTTACAAATACTTCCAACAACAACAAATTACATTTGTATAGTGCTTTCAAGTCGGAAGGACATCCCAAGGCCCTGGACAGTCAGGGGTTTCGATACGAGAAAAGTTTGAGATCAGGAGGGGAGGGGGGAAGGTGCGGTCGAAGAGAAGGGTCTTGAGAGAAGCCTTGAAGGAGGCATGGGAGGGAGGAGCGGGCTGGAGCCTGCTGAGCGGAGGGAGTGGACAGGTTGGTATGGCGTTAGAAGCTCACAGAGGTTGGAAGGAGCAAGGCCATGGAGGGCTTCGAAGGCGAGAATAGACAGAATAAAATGCAAAATAAAATGCAGAGTGTCTACTCTGGCTACACATTTAGACTGTTAAACTAATGACATTTGTTTCATTAAAAATTGTCAATTGGTGGCTTCTCAGAAAATTGTATCAAAATACTCTTTCTTAACATTGATAATTTAATTTTGTTTTTGTTTTGTTTCCCCTGTTGCAGATGTTGGAATTCAGACAAAAGATGCAGTTGATATTCCCAGGGATTCCAAAAAATGAGCCTCAAGCCAATGAGCAGTTCAGTTGGGAAAACGTACTGAAATCAAAGTGATGTACTGCTTAAGTGAAATCGATGCGTGCAGTCCCAGAGACACCTACCTACTATGTGGGTCCTGTAACTCAGTGGTTAGAGCACTCGCCTCGCAAGTGAGAGGACCTGGGTTTCATTCCCAGGCAGGGCGACGCCTTAAGCAAGTTTCCTTACTCCACACACCTCTGTTTACCTAGCAGCAAGAAGGAAACCCAGTTGTTAGTTGATTTTCCAGGAGATAATAATCCCTTATATATACAGTCAATTCACTTTGCAGTATATTCTGTGAAGTGCTTTGAGACGTCTCAACGACGTGATCAGGTGCAATATCAAATGCAAGGATTATTATTACAATTATTATACTGCAAAAAAAACTTTTGTGCATTTTGCTGCTGATGAAAATTACTGACTTTGTAAAACTATGCGCAAAATCAAAATACTTTTGTTGTGACCTGGAATTTTTTAAACATTTTCTTCCATACTCCTGACAGAAGTGACTCAGCCCCACACCATGGGCTGCTGTTAGTATCTCGCCCTGGAGAGTTCACCTCAGCAACCTCATCCATAGAATAAAATGCAGAATATCGTTAGACACCCTGGCTACACATTTAGACTGTTAAACCAATGACATTTGTTTCATTAAAAATTAAATCTACCATGTGGATGAGGGAAATCATTTGAGTCTGTCCCCTTGTCATCCTGACTTGTCGGGTGCATCTGTGGACAGAGGTGAGAAGTAAGATTCCTGGCTGATCATTTTTATTCCCCTCCCCCCCATTACTAAACAGAAGCCAGTTGTGTTCCCCACCAGTGTTCCGGATGAGATCAGCTAATTCAGCGCAGACCAGAAATTAAACCTGGGACTTTCCTAACCTGTGTGCATCAGTCCGACAACATAATTACCCACAGAAACCCATCCAGGAGCCAATACTGTTTGATAATCATAGCATGCTTCTTAATCTTGAAATTGTGAAGTAATGACATTCATCCTGTTATTTTTAAATGTTTCTTTTTGTGGAACAATAGCTATTTACATTTGTATAGTGCATTTCACATCAAGAGGACATCCCAAGGCGCTGGACTGTCAGGAAGGGTAGGGGTAGGAGGGTGCCCGAAGGCGTGGTCCAAGAGGAGGGTCTTGAGATATTTCTTGAAGGAGGAAAGGGAGGGAGCGATGCAAAGGGGAGTTCCAAAGGGTGGGGGCAAGTTTATTCACTATATACTTTTTATTTTTTTAAAAAATTATTGAATTAAATCTAAACAATAGAGATACTCGATTTCTTTGGGTTTTTAAATATGTTGTTTTTCCTACATTGGATCCTGTTTGCAAAAAAGAAAGGAGTTTCTCCTGGTGTCCTGGTCAACAATCCTCCAGATAAAATTGGTCATTCACTTCATGGCTGTTTGTGGGTCTTGGAAATACAGCAAGTACTAGGAGCTCACACAACAACACTAATTTATATTTACATAACACATCTCATGTTGGGAGGATGACTCAAACTGATTCACACAGCTAACTATGAGCCTGAAATGGGGGAGGCGGGAATGTGACCGAAAGTGCAGTCAAAAAGATAGGTTTTAAGGTGGGCTTTGAAGGTGGAGAGTGGGCAAAATGGAGGGACCCCAGGATAAGTTCTCCAACGAGCAAGGGCAGAAATGGATAATATCTCAACGACTGAGGGTGGGGCGGATCAGGCAGTGAGTGGAATATGAATCGTGCAGTAAATGAAAGAGCTGGAAAGTAGGATTGCAGAAAATCACAGGATAACTCACGCAGTGCCCCAGAGCGCAGGGTGGGATGAGACTGGAGGGCCCTCCTTTCTAACAGGAAGATTTAGGTTTCGTGTTGCTTTTGATATAGTGCCTTATCCTAGTCATGGAAACATCTCGAAGTATATCTGGTAAGTGAATGTAATTTTATCTGAAAGACAGTGCCATGGGATTGTAATATAAAATACTACCTGAAGAGTCAGAGGGGAGGAGGGGTCTTAGCTTTAAATCTCATTCAAAGCATATCACCTCCAGTGTTGCAATATTCTCCCACCACTGCACCAGAGGGTGCTGAGACTGGAAGTTCAAAATCATGACATTTGGCTTGAACATAGCATGCTTACTACCAACTGACATCTAATCTATCTAATAGCACATTTGTGGAGCCCTGTAGCCTAATGTTTAGAACACTCACCTCACAAACGAGACACCTAGGTTCAATTCCCAGGCTGGGCGAAACGTTAGGCAAGTTCCCTTACTCCACACGCCTCTGTTTACCTAGGTTAGTCGATTGGCAGATCGCTTTTCTGGGGATAATAATCCCTTCAAATAAATAATAATTTGGTCACTCAATCCACGACCGTTGTGGGGCACTGCTGTGCACAATTGGATGCTGTGTTTTGCCCACAAAATATACAGTCAATTCACTTCACAGTATATTCTGTAAAGTGCTTTGAGACTTGAAGACGTGATAACGTGATGACGCTGAATCAAATACAAGGATTATTATTGTGTGAAATGTATTCATATTTTGTCAAATGGAAAATAAAGATAGTTTATTAAACTAAAAGCAACAGTCTGGAGGGCCTCCATAGGAGCTTTTATTATAAGATTGCAGTTGTGTTCAATGAGTTATGCATATTAGCAGTGCCACCTTTTGGCTGATATTCATCATTACAACTGAAGCAAGCAGTTGAATATTTTTGCAGATTCACTCGGAAGTGGAATGAATATAGCTATGAAAGTCAGAAAAAGACCAACAATGCCCCAGAGAAAAGAACCTTCCTGTAACAGAATAGCTGACATTTAATATCTGTCTTGAAGGGAATTGTTACTGTTGAGGTGTGCTGGAGGAAAGAAGAGGAAAGTATGGTACTTTTGAGTATTAAGTATAAATTGACTCATTGTATTGCCTCCCACCGTCTGTGACCTCCTAACCCCCTCCCAACCTGCCAGCTGCCGAACTGTTCGCTCCCTCTGCTCAGAGGACTCCAGCCTGGCTTGCCCTCCCCACCATTGGTGGGTGGGCCTTCAGCCTCTCTGCCCCCATCCTCTGGAATTCCATCCCACAGTCCCGCCACCTTGCCCCCTCCCTTGTCTCCTTCAAGACCTGTCTCAAGACCCTCCTCTTTCACTGTGCCTTCGGTCGCCCTCCAACCCTCCTAATCTCAACCACAGCTCAGGTGCGGATCCCTGACTGTCCAGCGCCTTGGCACGTTGTCCTGATGCGTAAGGCGCTATACAAATTTAATTTATTGTTGTTGTCATTTAATACTATGGGACTAGAGACAATACACAGGAACAATGAGGCTGATCCCTAGTTTTAGAGGGGGAATGACCTATGAAGAACAATTAAATAAACTAGGGCTCTGCAAGAGACATTAGAGCAAACTTTATATAAAATCCATAGAAATGTAGGAGGATGTTTGGCCCATTTTTCTTTGTTGGTGTTTGCTCTTCCAAAAGTCTATCCATCCTAATCCTGGTTCCTTGCTCTTTCTTTGTACCCTTCAATACCCTTCCTCTGCATATGCTTGACCAACTTTTTTAAAGCTCCAATTGACTTGTTCTATCAGCCATCCTTGACAAATAATTGTTCTCTGGGAGAAGTGTCTTTCAAACATCTACTTTTACTCAATCGCAGTCTTCTATACAATGCCCTCTGCTTTCAAATCTCCTTCCAACAGAAAACGTTTTTCACAATTAGTTCTCTCAAACCTCTTATTTATGTTAAAACAATTTTATCAGATCACCACTCAACGTTGTTCAAACCCAGAGTCCTTACCTCATGGAATCATAGAATTATATAGCACAGAAGGACGCCATTTGGCACATCATGTCTGCCAGCTCTTTGAAAAGAGCTGTCCAATTCAATCCCACTCCCCTGCTCTCTCCCCATGGCCCTGCAAACTTGTCCTCCCCAATAATTATCTAGTTCTCACCTAAAAGTTGTTATCGAATTGGCTTCCATCAGCTTTTCAGGCAATGCATTCCAGACCGAACAACTCGCTGTGTGAAAAAAATTCTCCTCATCTCCCCTCTGTTTCTTTTAACAACTATTTTAAATCAGTGTCCTTGGGTTACCAACCCACCCACCAGTGGAAATAATTTCTCCTGCTTCACCCTATCGAATCCCCTCATAATTTTGAATCTTCTATTAAGTCTCCTCTTAACCTTCTCTGCTCCAAGGAGAATAATCCCAGCTTCTCCAACAACAACAACAACAACAACAAGATTCCATTTATAAAGCGCCTTTCACGTCAGGAGGACGTCCCAAGGCGCTGCACAGTTGGGTCATGACCCGAGCAGGGGGGAAATGGTCAGGGTGAGGGGAGGGAAGGGAGGGAGCGAGGAGGGGGGAAATGGTCAGGGTGAGGGAAGGGAGGGAGCAAGGAGGGGGAAATGGTCAGGGTGAGGGGAGGGAAGGGAGGGAGCGAGGAGGGGGAAGAGAGTCGAGAGGGGAGCTGAAGGCACTCCAGCCTCTCCTGATAACTGAAGTCCCCATTTACCATCCTGGTAAATCTCCTTTGCACCCTCTCCGATGCCTTGATATCCTTCCTAAAGTGTGGTGCCCAGAACTGAACATAGTACTCTAGCTGAGGCCTAATCAGTGTTTTATAAAGCTTTATCATAATTTCCTGACTTTTGTATTCTATGCCCCTATTTATAAAGTCTAGTATCCCATACAATTTTTTTTAAACAGCTTTATTTACCTGTCCTGCTACCTTCAAAGACTTACTTATATGAACGCACAGGTCTCTGTGTCCTTCACCCCCTTTAAGATTCTACCATCTAACTTATACTGCCTCTCCTCATTCTTCCTCAAAAAATCCATCACTTCACATTTCTCCACATTAAACTTCATCTGCCATGTGTCTGTCCATTTTACCAGTCTGTCTATGTCCATTTGCAGTCTTCTACTATCCTCCTTACTGTTTACTACTTTTCCTAGCTTAGTATCAAACGCAAACTTGGAAATTGTACTCCTTATAACCAAGTCCAAGACATCACAGAACCAGTGCAACAGGTTCTATAGGTAGTAGGGGAACATCCAGAAGTCATGGTCCATGTGGGCATCCATGACGTAGGGAAAAAAAGTGCTGAGATCCTATAGGGAGAGTATCAGATGCTAGGGAATAA